AAAACACTGTTTTTTGGATTTTGTAGTAGCTGGAAGTAATAAAGCCATTGACTGAACCAGGGACGTTTAAAATGAATGGGACGTCATTAAAGTAAGTGTCAAAGGAGACAAGTGTTGCGTTATGGATAACGAACCATGAAAGGACTTGTAAAACATAAAAAGGGGAAATACACACATATATTGACCACATGATTCTTTCACTTTGCTCCTTTTATTCAAATTCAAAAGGATAAATTTTGCGCAAGTCAAGTTCCTTTATTCTGATAGCCTACACATTGGTTCGACTACACCATCACCAGTTCACCACTGTCTCATATTAGCCTCGCTGGAATCACTTCCTCTAACTGGTCACTTAAGTCGTCAAAATCCCTCATCGGAGGTAAAATGAAGGAACCCAAACCATACAAGACCGACCGCAGTGCGCTCCATGAAGTACCATCCTGGTAAAGCCCACAGATTCTATTTAAGCCCATGTGGCTCTGGTTGTCCAGGTTGTTTTTTCCCTTTCATCAAAGCCCACGAAATGAGTATTAACTTTTTTCGTCAAGAGAATTGGCAGCGAGAGTGTCCAGCTATTGTAATGGTTGTTACTTGGTAGGTTTTTTTTTTTTTTTTGGGGGTACATGGTTACTTGGTGCAAGCGGTTTGAAAGGCTCTTTCAACCAAAACCAAGAAAAAGGGGCTAAAAAGACTCGAGCTGCATTATTACGGATCCATCTTGGGTGATGGTGCTAATGAAATCTGAGGTCCAGATTTAATAGGTTATTTTATATTTATTAAAATAAAATTTTATAAAAATTACTCCTTCCGTTCAAAAAATATAAGACATTTTTAACCGAATCTCACCCTTAATAAAATAGTTATCTACTTTTCAACTAACCCTATTTTTTTATATTTATCCTTATTAAATATCCTGCAATAAATATAAAGTCATTATTAATAGAGACACTTTTGAAAAAAATAATAATTATATTTTAAAAGGCTAAAAATATGTTATATTTTTTAATATCTAACTCTTTAAAAAATGCCTTACATTTTTTTAACAGAAGGAATATTAAAGAATTATAATGAATTTTTTTATTATCTATCAGATCTAGGTTTAACTTGAAAATTTTAATTTAATATTAAAATTTTTATATATTAACTGCCCAATATACCCTACACTGTTAGATTAAAAATTTTAAACTTGCAATTTTTTTAAAAAAATATTTTATATTTTCATTAAACCTGAATTGTGTAGAACACATATGAGTAGTGAAAATATAAAATTATAAAAAATTTAATATTAAATTGATATATACAGAGACATCTGATTAGTTAATATATAAAAATTAAAAAAATAATATTAAATTGAACTCTTCAAATTAAATAGAAATCTAATTGATAAAAAAATTTATATAATTTTTATTTTAATAAATATAAAATAATTTATTAAATCTGAACTATTCAGATGTTCATTATCTCGATGAGCACCTGAGCACCTAAGATTATTATCCACATGCGCGAGTTCAAATCTATTCGGATCATGTCTAAAGTGTCGGTTAGTTAGGAGGTGAATGATGACTGAGTTTGCTTCCTCTACATTTGTTTTTGGTGTATTGTACGGTTCCTGTTTCTGTGAATTCTTGTTTTGAATGAATTCCAGATTTTGATTCCAAAAAAAAAAAAAAGGTCTCGGTTTGTGATCCTTTCTTTTCTAGAAAATTCCAAAACACTCGGGGGCCAGGTGAGTTGAACTGTATTAAGCGGCACTTTTGCTCCACATATAAAAAAAGGTTTCTTGTAATTCGTCCCAACACAGCATCACCTTTTTGGAGGGATAAATGAAGGCGTGACCAGTGAACATAGTCTGCATTCTAATATATCAGAAACATTGTAGTGGCGCTTATAACTGGGGTTCTTCCGCTGCTAGTACTCTCAAGATCTTGTGTTCTCCAGATACATCCCCACCGGTATTGTACACAATGACACGTATCTACTTAAATTCACACCTTGTTAGTTCTCTATTCACATGAGTTAATGCCACTTGCTCCATCCGTTTATCTTCATTCGTTCGCTTGAAGTTCGAATCATGTGTCGTCGTCACATTCCTGATTAGCGTAAGGAATCTGAAAATATAATGCAGGACCATCTAGGGGAAGCAGTGTTCATGGATCTGCCAGAAAAAGAGAAACCGAAACACTTGCACGACCTTAATTCCACTTAACATGCCCGGTTGGGAGAATTAGTTCTTAGACATGATTAAAACCCTGTCCCAGGTCATGGAGCACTGATGATGTCGTGGCTTGTTGAAGGGGAATGCATAATATCACTAAACAAATCAATTAACTTGCTTCAAGGTCATCAACTCAAGCCCGTCTGAAGATGGCTGGATGATCAGAGTCAGTAGAGCCGAGCAATCCATCCGAATTAGATTCTTGTGTGGTCCAAAAGAGTGCATCAAAGACGCTGCTTGTTAAGTTATCAGGTTCAAATTATGCCTCCAGTAAACCAAACCACTAGGACTCTTCGAGTATTTGTCAGAAATGCCACGTATTGTTTTCCATAAACACCTCTCCAAGCAACTGTTTGTTGACCAAAGAGGCCAAGCTATTTACTTAGCGCCCCCCCCCCTTCCCTTTATAAAATACATATTTGATTATGGATGAGAGTCCAGAAAATTTAATTAGCAGGGGCAAATTTTAACCAAATATAAATATTAAAACTTTATAAAAATATAATTATAAATATTTGTTAAATTAATATATAACCAATATTTTTCAAATTTTAACCTGTGACGGACTGGCATATTTTTATAACCAATACAATATAAAACTATATTTTTAAATATAGGTTTCATGTTTTTTTAAAAAATAAATGGGTTCAAACGTGTATTTATTTATTGACTTGGGGACAAAATGAAATTTCTTAGAGGGGGCATTAAGGGAGTTACATGTGTTGTGCTTTATATAAAATGGACCTACATGTAATATTTACTTTTTGTTAGTGGTTAGTGTGGACACTTGCCCCCACTATCATAAACGTAGGTCAGTCGTTCCGTGGGACGAGGATGAGGTACTGTTTATTGGGTTGACTCAGTCTTGGTTGGGGTTAAAAACGTAGAACAGTGGAACTAAATATTCTGACCCGGTGTCCCCGGTTGGGTGGAAACCGGAAAGAGAAAGTCAGGTGAGTCAAGAAATTAAGAGGTGGGTTTCAATGTTTCATTCATAGTTTCTTCGAAATTATATTTATTTGACTGTATATTCTACCGACTCTCGGCTAAGCAATATCGAGATTTGCCGTTTACTTAGCCAACAGGAAGAAACTGATAGAGCCCCAAAAGTACTATAATATAGTCTGCATGAAAGAAAATAAAATCACTGCAGCATTATGAACAAAAGACTCCTAAGTTCTTTCCCATCAACCTAATTTTGACATTTTTTTAGGCTTTTTTTTTTATAAAAATTATGTAGTTAGAAGAGGTGGGAGTTGTGGACTTTGCATTAAAAAAAAAATTGAGGTGTGGGCCTAAAAAAAGAACATACCAAAATTTTTAATTTATGCTACTCTTGAATTATAATATATGATATTTTTTAGAATTTTGCTTGATCTAAAAATTAAAGTATTGGGTATATTTTGAAAACAACTAAATTCTCCTAAAAGGAGCCCTATAATTAAAATTATAGAGATTATAAAATAATATTATCCCTATTTAAACTCATTAATTAGGAGAGAATATATAATATAAATTTTAAAAAATTTCATTTAAAATTTTATAATACTATTTGTCTATTTTTTTTATTGAAATCATTAAGTATCTCCTCCATCCTATTATCATCCATTTCACTATAATCAAAGGAAAAATTAATGTCCCGTGCATCATACTAGTATAATATCTAGTTGAATATTAAATATTAAACTCTCCAATTGGATCTAATTAATTAATATATTTGGAGCTATAGATGTACGAGGGCAAATAAATAATATAGGATGGAATTTGAATTTAGTGACTGTACTTAAAATAAGTACTGAGTGCTTGTAGCATTTAAATCATTAAAATTTAAATTAATGATTCTAAATTTATACCCCACTTAAGATTAATAAATGAGCGACTTTATCTAACCAATTGATAATTTGGATTTTAATAATTTAAATGTTACAAGCACTCAATGTCTATACTAAGTACAGTCATTAAATCCAAATTCATATAGAATGCTTGTTAGGCATCATTGTTCAAGATGAGATTTAGACTATTTATATTATAATCTAATTGGTCTAAATTTAAAAAAAAATTTTATATTTACATTTTATATTTATTAATATAAAAATTATCATAAATTTGGCCTAAATTTAATTTGAAAAATTCAATTTAATATTAAAATTTTTAAATTTTTCACATAGTGATTATCTAAATATATTTTGAACAATTCAAATTTAATATTAAATTTTTTTATAATTCTTTTATTTTGATAAATACACTACTAACAATTAAAATGTATAAAACTGGAACCTTTTTAAAAAATTTATAAATTAAAAGTTTTAAACCTAAATTATGCAAAATACGCATTTGGATGGTCATTATGGAAACATTATAAAAATTTTAATATTAAATTAATCCTTCAAATTAGATCTAAACAATATTTCTATTTTAATTTAGTTGGTTTAGATTTAAAACATTGTTTTATATTTCTATTTTATATTTATTAATATAAAAATTATTATAAATCTGGCCTAAATTTAATTTGGAGGATCCAATTTAATGTTAAATTTTTTAAATTTTCATATATTGATGATCTAGTTTAATTTCTTGTTCCAACACACTGGGTTAATTGATTTTATTTTATTTTTAAAAGAAAACTAGAATTAGAGAGACAAAAGTTTAAAACTCGACTCTTTATTATTAAAGATTAGCCATTTAAATTTCATCAATCAGAATGATAACAAAAACAGCAAGAAACCCATATCCATATCGCACCAAAACATCAACTAGATAATTAAATATTGAGAAATCAAATAAATTTGGCAAAAGCAAAATTTATTATTATTTTTAAAATTTGTTAAGTAACAAGCAATCCTCATTTTCATAATTAAATCAGCCAAAGAGGCATATTTCAACGAATACTAACTCCACAACTATTCAACTTTTACAATTCGCGCAAGACAGTTGTCTGAAGGTCTGGGAATTGGCAAGTAGACCAGAGGACATTCTTCATTCATTCTCTCCATCCTGCACCATAATCATAATTAAAAGAAAAGAAAAACAATTACTGTATTATTCATCCATGGGTCTCAGGTTTCTCCTTTGTTTAGATGGAGAAATAGAAGTTAGCTTGATAGCGAACCTGTAGCTGAGAAGAAAATGGTGAAGGAAAATGGCGACCTCAAGCTTGGCCAGCTCACTTCCAGGACAGTGCCTGCTTCCTAATCCAAAGGGAAGGAATGATCCTGCCTTCCCTTTGAAATTCTGCACCACATTTTCTATATATTGTTTAATATGATCTTGATCACTAAATTTATCACTACATAATTAGTAACAACAATTAAGACCGAACATCGACAGTCCACGTACATCCCATCTGGAGGGATCGAATTCCTCTGGGTTCACGTAATTCTCAGGATCCATGTGAATACCTCTGTACCAAACCAGAACTTTCCACCCTTTGGGTATGGTGTAACCTAGATTTTTTTTTTTTTCAAGGCAATGTGGACAAGTTTATTACTAACCCGAGAAAAATTGAAGTTGGAAAATAATATGTTAGGGATATTGCGACCAAACCGTTCATGTTGACATCGACTTTTGCCTGTCTGAAGTTTGCAAATGAGATAGTCGTTCTGCGCAGCACCTCGTCAATAACCTGAATAAAAATTTAACAAACCAAAAAAAAAAAAAAGCTAAGAAAGATTCTTCGTGCAACTCATTGTTGTTGGATTTCTCTGTTTTTAAATGACTGACGCAGATTATGGTTCACAAGCATGGATTCTGGGCTAACCCAAACTTAACAGCTCAAGCTGGGAAACTCCTAAAATACAACCCAATGGGACATAAAATAATAACATTAACGCTACCGAACTTGTAAATATATAACTAAATATACCTTTGAAAGATATTCCATTTGCTTAATTTCCATAAGATTCAGCCCTTTCTGCGAGGAAGGTCTTCGTCCCGTGATCTCTTCTTGCTCTTTCTACAGGTAGGTACGTTTAATATTAATCATGAACAAACATTACAACTAATTAATGTGGGGAAGGGAAGTGCAGGTGAATATTCTGATAAGGGACAGGAGATTATTCACATGACGACGACGACGCAACAGTAGTCAAACCTTGGCCTTTTCGAAGGATTCTGGGTGTTGAGTGAGGTAGATGAGGGCCCACATTATAGCGTGAGCCGAACTTTCGTGACCGGCCAACAAGAATACGAGAAGCAGGTCCGCTATGTCCTCGTCCTCTAGTTGCCATCCATCCTCGTCTCTCGCCTCCATCAACATATCCATCATGTCTTTCTTCGTCTTTCCCTTAATGGTCGTCCTCTTCTGCTCCAGCAAACTTTGCAGTTGCTTCGTCAACTTCTGTCTTGCCTGACATTTTATTATTTCACACAACAATGTTTAACTAATGTTAGCTTTTAATTACGCTTGTCACGCAAACAGTTCATGGTGGTCAACTTCCGTTGGCCATCGATTAAACAAAACGAACTTAAAGAAGAAAATAGAGCGATATATAAGTGATTATTTAACCTTGAGTGCCTTGTGGAAAGCAAAACCCGGTAGATTAATGGCGAGGGACTTCATTCCCCGATTGAGGTCGGCGTACAAGTTTTCGAACATGCCGAGGTCGATGTAGTTGACGTCGGAGCCGACGAAGATGCTGGTGATGACAGCAAAAGCAAACTTTCTCAACTCGCACAGCAACTCAACTGGCGCCTTGACGCTGCTCCACTCATCCAACAAGCTGACGGCCATATGTTGGATGAGAGTAACATAGGAAGACAAGGCATCGTGGCCGGTAATGGGAGCGGTGGTGAGGCGGCGGATGCGCTTGTGGTCGGCGTCTGAAATACTGTGCAGAGATCTCCGGCCGGTAAGGGCGATGGTGGAGGTGGGGTAGCCCAGCTTGAAACGGTCTTCATCTGTGAGGACCTTGCGACACGTGTCGGGAGTGCAGACAATGATGGTGGGGCTTCCAAAGAGATGAGTCCGGTACATGCCGGTGGCGCCATGCCTGGAAACAAGGCGAGAGAGAAAGGAATCAGGATGAGATCTGACGGAGGAGAGGAAGGAAGGCATGGCTCCCAGGAAAGGCCAGCCCATATCACCAGGTGGAAGACGAAACGCATCGTTTCGCCGTCTTCCTGCATAGTACCAGTCGTTGAGTCTCCTCAGAAACCGGAACACGAATGCATATCCGCCCAACACAAGAGCCGCTCCGACCATCACCGCATCAAATATCTCCATTTATTATTGCTTTTTCTTCTTTTCCTTCCGGTCTCTTTTACTGATACGTGATCTACCTCTCGTCCTTTTATATATACTGCCGCTCTCTCGACTGCAAGTTGTCGCATACTCGTACAGATGTGCTCGCTCCCCTTGCCGTCGGATTTGGACTGGCCGTTTATCTTATCGACGGACTCGGAGCTTCCACGTGGCTTTTCACCAAAGCCATCCGTTAATCTTGACTCGGACGGATTTTCCTCCATCTTCTTCGACGGGTTCGATGTTGGTGTTTGTATTTATTTTCTTTTCAGTGGGTTGGGTTTTCCAAGTGCAGAATTTCGGATTGCTTCCGCTCATTACATTTCTCGCATTCGGATTTGTTATTTTGGTTTTCTTGTGGGGGTGTCTCTTGGAATTCTCTATACTTGATTTATAGATTTTAAATTTTATTTTTAACTTAAATAATAATTTAAATGATTATTTTAAGTTAATACTTGATAAATTAAGTATTTTTATTGCTGGCTCAAGAAATTATTATTAAAAATAACACGATCCCAGGAGGAATCCATCTTTTCAACTTAGAAATTTGGTTAATTAAATTAAAAGTTAATATGGAATTTAAATCTTAAATTATAGGTCTATAGATAATTTATACTCTAAATTTTTAAAAGGTACATTTTAAACTTAAAACAATAAAAATTGGATCAATGTTATCTCATCATTAAATTTCAACAAACGTCCATTAGTGTTTTAAAAATTAAATTTTAATGTGTAATTTTTATTAAATTTTATCATACGTAGCTCTATATATTCTCATTTGATGAAAATCACATATTAAATTTTAATTTAATAGACGTTTATTTAAATTTAATGGTGAAATGAAACTACCTTAATTTTAATTGTTTATGTTTTAAAAGTTTAGTGTTCAAATCATTCTTAAACTTATAATTTAAAATTTAAATTGCACGTCAATGCTTAAATTAATTGATTCTTGCCTGTTAGTAGTACAGTTAACGTTCGCATGTAAAATAATTAGATTTAATAGTGGCTGAAATACTTTATTCATATTAAATGCTTCACGACACGACTTTGAGCGAAGAAAGAAAACAACATTGAAACGTGATATATTTATCTTGCATGGCATGCGTAAGCTAATTTGACTAGCAACCCCATGTCAAAAGAAGCAGCGTAAAATCTCACATCCGATGAACAGGTCGCCTCCCGTCCCTGTGGGTTCTACCTCGGCTACTTCACTTGGTTGGTTCGTTTGAGACTAGAGCCTATGAAGAGACTGACGAGTCAAGCTAGTGTATTGGCTACCCAACAAATCAAACCAAATCAAAAAAGAACGACGGTCAAGTTAATTCCATGTTTGAATGAGTAATAACTATGACTTGCTCTCTCAGGTGGTAGTGACATGTGCATGTTATGTGGATTCACCTACCCAAATTAATGTGACCGAAGAATTAATAAAACATATATTGCTTATAACTTGTCATCCCGTCGGAGAAGCTTCGCATTTGTTAGCTGCTGCCAGTTCAATAAATTCTTGCCCCCCCGCCCGCCATAAGTTGCCTCGGACAAGAAATCGACTTATGATATGTATTAATGTATCCCAGCTGAAAACAATCATATTAGACGGTGAGACTGTTAGACTTTATCAACATAATTAACTTTGCACGCAATTTAATTTAATTTAATTACATGTCCCTCGCGGCAATAATTTGTTTGTTTTTGGATCCGCGGGTTACGTTTTTGCCCATTACACAACCAGCTGTCAAATTAACCACGTACGATACCAACACAAAATATGGAAATTAAATATATTCCATGTTACGTCTAATTAGACATGTACGCAATTTCTAAGTTACAAGTATTTTTGGTAGAAGGGAGTCACTCCTCAGAGAAACAGAAAAGGGGAGAAAGGAAGGCAGAGACTTTTCGCAAATTAGACATGTACACGCGTACATGCATAACATCCTGTGACAAGGACTGTTCAGAATACAATCTACGTACAAAGATCACGACTAAGACTAATAATATAAGATTAATTTTTGGTCGACAGTCATTCATGTGTTATAACCACGTCCACTGAAATAAGTCATCCATAATTAATAATTATCTTAAAAAAGTAAGATGACTAAATTAATATTTGTATCCTAGAAGATTATTCGTTTCTTAAGTTGATTTTGGAACTCTTGCGAAAAAAGGCTAATTTTTTAACTGAACTCTATCACTTTAGTCAATGAACAATTTTTTTTTGGAATTATTTTCATTATTATAAAAGATGAAACGGAGAATTAGCATTTGACTCTAACATTTAGAGAATAATAGCAAAATAAACTAAGAAATCAAAACATAGGGTTAAACCTCTTTGAAAAACAACAACTTTAATTTACTAAGAAAACACTGGATTTCTCGAGAATTTTTTTTTTTACTAAAATTCCATAAGAAAAATTAAATTCTCTCCCTGCTCGCTTCACTGAAGAAATTATAATTTAGAAATAATCCCATCAAAGTGATAGCAGCCAACTGATAAAAACTAATGTTTGAGTTGGGCTATTATTTGGGAAACCCTATGGCCTGAAGTCATGCTTAGCATAAGGCAGGCCCAACAGTCTTTGTGCAAAAATATGAATGAGAAGATGACATTCAAATAATCAAATCCAAAACAATAAATTTATGACAGTTAAATTTTCAATTTTTTTTTTGTAAAATCAATTATAAATATTAACTTAAGATAATTATAAATTAAAAAATTTTAAAATGCAAATAAAATATTTAAATTCTAAATATAATTCTTATTTTTTGCTTACAATTGTTTAAATTAATATTTAGAACTTATTCCAAAAAAAAATTATCAAAATTCTAACTACATAGATTCTCTATTTTGTAATTTTATTGTCATTTTTCCAAAATTCAGCAGTGATTGTACCAAAGTTAACAACAACTATGTGAAGATTAATCGGCTCATTATCTGAGAAACCCTTGAGCTTACGTTTAGCATAAGAAAGGTTAAAAATACTAGTAGAAAAAAGAACTAAGTTTGAATCCCTTTCATATAGTTTTCAACCATGATTCAAACAGATCATGTTCAATTAGGAGGTACCTGTACACAATTAAAAAAGACAGAGAAGAAAAAAGAAAAGAACAAAGCAAACAAGGCCTTCTAATTGACGAACCAGGGCGCGAAAAGAACTCGAAACCCCGAGGAGGTTAGATTAGCCAAGAGCCGAGGACTGATAAATGACGAACCAAGAGAGAATGGAGCATACAAGCAACATCACGCCAACCCTGCGCTCCGATCCCATAGCGAAGGATTGAATTCTGGATGCATATGAACAGCTCCTCTGCCCACATCAATCCTTTCAATCCTTTATATTTTAAAGGAGACGTCAAAATGTCAAAAAATTCATTGCACTTTTAAAAGAAAAAAATATATTATCAGAATATTAACGCAACTGACTCTAACTCACTACACTTCACCACACTAACAAGCCACTGACAACCAGCAGCTATACGCAGAGGGTCAAGAAGACGTCAGCACATGAGAATATATTTATAACGCACCTCGGATTTGTATTGCCCCAAGCGTTCTTTCTGATTCTGAATGTGGCGTAAACCATCATGAAAGTGAGACGAGTCAAATATTGAACTCATTATATCATACATGAACCAAAGCATACCTTGGCCAAAGTATTTACAACGAGATTCACAACAGCTAGTACCACATAACCAACATACCCCATAAAATAAACACGCTGAAAATTTAATCATACACCAAACTTATAGCCACACGTTAAACATAAACCAGCACATTTGTGGCTCAGGCTCCCATAGAAATTGATCAGATTTTGACATCAGGAGATTCAGCGTATGAGATTGAAATCAGTTCAGATCGAAACTTGTCATCCCCATCACCGTTTGCAACTGCAACTCCATCAGCTTTCTTAATTTCAGACCCACAAGTTGACTCCACAATCTTATCAGGTAAAGAGTTAGAGATAGCAATGAGCAACTCACGTGCAATCTCCTTAGTGGCCTTCTTGCTCGGTGATTTGTTATCCATATAACTTCTCTCTTCCTAAAATTCAAATCCCAAAACTTCAGATTCAGCATGTCCCTCAAAGGTTATCATATTCGCATTAGTATTAATATCATTCTCAGGTTTGCTCTTGTTTGCTGTGGAAACCCAGTTTACGGAATTTGTTCAGTGTGTATAACACCACTAGCACACCAATTAGATCAAAACAAGTCCACAAATGCATTGTCAAAAAGGCCATCTAAGTCGACATGCGGATGAACAGTGCCGAAGAATAAATGATAATAAGCATGATACGAAACCACAACGTAATATTCTAGAAATACCAGCGAGCTCCCCGGAGGTTTACGCATTTGGTCAAAGTCTGAAAAAGAGCCCAACAAGAATTCGAAGTGATGGCCAAATGAATCTTTGTGAAGGAGATCCCAATCTCACATGTAAATATTTTTTTTTTTGCTTAATCTTTCTTAATAGGTATTTATCACGCTTGAAATCTTTTAAGAACCCACCTCAGTTTTTCCTCCTTGTTTCCTACTCCGCTCGTACAGCCCAGAGGCCAGGTTATTGCCAAAAACAAGCTGACCTTTAGTTAATTAACAAACAACGGATAGATTGAGATGAATGGGAAGCAATGAATACTATTTAGAGAGGCACCACATAAGAATAAAGTTTCACATCAGGCATTTAAAAATTGATATATAAATTCAACAAAAATTGATATATTAAAATCCCAACTTTTTCAACCAAAAGATTAAAAGCATATCTACGAACAGTTTAATTTGTATAACAAAAATCTTAATTTTTTTTTTTCGTTTTTTCAAAAAACCTTTGATATTATATATTTCTATCGGCAGAGGCCGTTTGATCAGGTTGATTAAATTATGCAAACCCAACCGTTCAAGCCAAAAATCCTTCAAACAGAACAAAACCCAACCAGGCAGAATGGTTTGGTTGGATTTGATAGGTTCGCAACAGTTAACGTCCTCTTTCGATTGATTATCCTGTTCGATTACCAGCATCATTAATTAGGGTATCAAAGAAACCCTATGTTTCGATTTGTATGAAACAGATTTCTAAATAATCAACAGAAAAAGGTCAGGAATTTGATCTCCCAACAAGTTAAAAGACTAAAACAAGGATCTGGTTCCACTAATGTTCGTGATATCGTTCCCAGATGCGAATTAAGCAGACGCTAACAAACGAACAGTCAGAGACATCAACACGCAAAAAGTTCAATATATTTTCCCTGGAGAAAAAATCAGCGAAATTTTTTTGGAGATCGTACCTTCAGGATTTTGCCCTTGAACTTTTTAGGAACGCGTCTAACTTCTCCCCTTTGGCCCTCTGCCCAAGTGACCTTATTGTTCGAGCTTTTCAAGAAAACTACGGTCTTGCCACGACGCTTTGGGAAAAGTTGGCAACTTGCTCACGGCTCTAGAATTTTCTGAAAATCACAGCCTTCCACCGAGTCTTCTGTCGGTCTCTTTTTCCTTGTATGCTAAATTCTGGTAAATAAAAAATTACATTAATCAAAGCAAATTATACTTTTTCAAAAAATAAAATCCATTAAAATAAAATGAAATACATAATAAACCATCCAAATCAAAAAAGGTTAATTTAATTTAGATTTTGAATTCTAAAATGTATTACACGAGAAAAACATAAAAAATAAAACAACAATAAACTAACAACTGACTGGCAACCAGATAAAAGAAATGCAATACAGTGATGATATATTTTATATTAATTTATATTTATGGGATGCTCGTAGAGGCTGTAATATTGTGTCTTTCTTGGGTGGATTCTGGACCTTAGCCCCCTATGCGAAGTTCATTTTAATATTGACGCGCTCCCATTGATTGTATCGAGGGGTCAACAATTCAACTTATCAATATATGCGCGTGCGTGTGTGTGTTTTCTTTGTAATAAATTATAAAATTCACAATATAAAACTAAGTACAATTCATCTTTTAGATTTGTTATAACATCCCCAAAAAAATAGATTCATATAATTTTAAAAATATTAAAATATTTTTAATTGTTTTTTATTTAAAAATATAGGTTGTTACTAATTAAAATTGATGTTAGTGATAGAAGTTCTTTTCACTTGAATAAGTGATTGAAAATTTGAATTTTAACCCTTATTTATGTAACAATTAAGTTAAGAAATATTTATTAATTACTTTCAATAGCTCGTCAAAAAAAATTTATAATTAGCTTAGCTTACTCTTTATACTTGAACAAAAATGACAAGTTGCTTTTATTTTAGGTAAATAATGCTAGCTTATTGATAAAACTAAAATGTTCTTGAAATATAATTATTTGAAGAGATTAGATTCTAGGGTTTCCAACTACAATTGAAGATATTTTAGAATTAATGAACATTTTAAATTTTATATTTTTGTGCAAATAGCATCTTATATCTTAAACTTTTAAAATATGTAAAACTCTTTTTAACTTTTAAATTATGAGTTCTTGAAGCCTTGCCATTAAGTTAGAAAAAATGAACATTATTTTTATAATTGTTAGGTTTAGTCCCACATTAATTTAACACTTATCTTGATCTTTAAAAATAATGACTATTTTTTTTAATTTAATAGTGAGATTTCATATGCTTAGAATTTAGAAATGAATTTTTTTTTTACATATTTCAAAAATTTATAGTCCAAAATGTTACAAGACTTTTTCTAGTATAGCAAACTTCAGTAAAGGATGACATCTAACATGTTTTGTAAAATCGTTCGATTTTTAAAAATAATCATAAAAAATTCAATACAGTATCCACTCATTTTAACATTATAACAACATCCACTCATTTTACTTTTATATAATATATATACTGTTGATTATTTTGATAAACTGGTCTTGTAAAAAGCCAAGTAACTAGTTTCAGATTATTTTAAAATAAAAATTAAAATAAACTTGAGAAGATAAAAGAATTAGGAGGCAGCAGAAGTGAAGAGTAAGAGTGAAAGATCAACTTATTTGATCTGAAGAAAATTCAATCTACAGGACTCATCTGTAAGGAAGAATCTATACTTGATATTGCACAAGAACATTGGAACTGATCACTGCCTTCCTAAACTAGCACCTTACAAATTAGCAAACATAGTAAGTTAACCACGCCAACTGTTAGACCTCTTGGCTTCAAAAGCAGCTCCGTCATGAAGCATATCCTGAGCATCGGTTTCCATTCCCAGCTTGGACAGAGCAAGTGCCTGCAGGTAGAATGCCGTTGGCCAATCAGGAATGCACACCTGTGCCTGCATCGCATCCCGTAGCGCCAGCTCTGCCTGCTCATTCATCAAGTATGAGAATGCTCTTCTTGCAAATACTGTTGCCGAAGGAACTGACATCATCACCACCAACTGTTCAAACCAAAATAAGTCCCCCAGTTTCAGACTATGTTCAGCTTTGCAATTCATAATCTTAATCATCACTCATACATTCCTCATCCAGTACTTTAGTTTGAATTATCCCCCTTTAATCAATGCTCCAAACGTTATGGCATGGGATGTGGAAAGATAATATTTAGTGATAAAGGCTAATCAGCATGACAACTAAACAATCAGAATACGGGAAACGAGAGGTTTTTTTTCGGGAGGGGGGTTCATCTACCTTGGAATAATACTCAATTGCGTTCTTGAAATCCTTGTCTCTGAATGCTATATCCCCAAATTTTTTTGTGTTCAAGATCTCTTGCACTTGTTGTGTCCACTCTTGGAATGAAAGCTGCAAGGTTACACTCAGAAACTAGATAAGAACAAGCACAAAAGCAAGAAAGATGGCATAATAGCTAGAAATTAACAAGTGAGGTTTACGCTGCTTAGTCCTACTCAGATACGGTTAAACGTTTCTAGTTTATATACACATTCATGCCACTGACAAAGACAAAACATGATACAAGATAAAGCCTGTTAAATTCGACGCCTTATTCCCGATATAGTATCCCAGCATTTCCCTTGCTCCAAAGTCCAAGTTATATCACGTCTCATTCACTGAGCTTCCAACATAAATAGAAAAGTATTTATATTATACGAAAATACAAAAACAGTAAAACAGTGAACAAACAACTAAAAAGAAAACCTAGGAACTCTTCAAGCAGATTGATATATGGTGTACCACATGCTGTTGACCACAGGCAGATATTTTGCTGAGGCATTCATGCAAAATACTGGTAACAACCAGTAGAGAGAGGAACAATAAATGATTTCAGGGGTGACAAGGAATGTTATAAGTCTCGAAAGATGAATGTAAATCAGACACGTACATCACCAGCAAAATGAACCATATTTGCAAATTCATGTGATCAACCAAGTTTATTAATTTGAATATAGGAGTCCAACAGGTATATTAATCTCAAATTTGAAAGGAAAAATCCAGATGATTCAACATACCTCGTTCTCAGCACCTTCTTCATCTTTATAACCTGTTTTCAGCAATATATCATGCACAGCTGTGAGATCCATCCTTGCACAAGCCTTTCCTAGAGGAGAAAGCATGGTTGGTAGCACTGCTGTACTTTTTGTCAGGCCCATCAACACATGAGATGCTACCTGGAAAAAGAAAGTGGGGAAAATCAGCAGAAGGAATAAAAGACTTAAAAGAAGATGGCAAAATTAGAACATGAAGTTGAACACAATTGAAATGGAGAAAAAGGACAGATTCCACTACACGGCTTAAAATTTAAGGTTAAAGCAGGGGGGGGGGGACCTCTTTTTGCTTTTGAAGAGGTGCAACTGCCGTAAGAAGAAACTTGACATCTGGGCGTTCTCTAGCCTCAAACTGAAGACATGTTGAAGCAAGTTCAACCAACTTTGTAGCATCATCGTTTGTGTATTGCCCTTCTAGGGATGAGTCCATTAGCAACAAGGCATTTTTACCTCTTATAAGATCAAGAGCCTGAAGGACAAAATCAATCTTGTTAGCAATTTTCATACCCTCAGGTTCAGCAAACATAAGACTAACTATGCAGCATGAATAGGCATCTCTATTGCCAATAATTAAAGATAATAAAGAATTGGATAATATAGTTTTTTGAGGCTATGGAATATAGAGAAAGAAAGCCATCTTCAAATGCAAGAGGAAAAGAAGTGATCTAAAAGTAATGGTCAACTTCTAACATGCATATCTTCAGCTAAAATTTGTATCAAATGTATCGTCCCTCAGCTAGCTTCATATATATGGAATAAAGCATTATGCACACCCTTAATGACCAGAGTGTATGGAGTTCCTGACTCAGTTTCTTCTGCAAATACAACAGATATTTGGTACATATAAGCAACTGGAAAGGTTGGAAGGGATGGTAACATACATGGCTTGGAGGAATATGCTTGCCGCTCAAAAGATCCAAAAGAACTGTTCCATAACTGTAGATTACACTCTCTGGGATAATCCTACCTGCAAAGGCTGTAAACAATCAGAATCACTGGATACAAAACTGCATAACTCGTCAACCATCCCTCAATGTATTTAAGTACCATGATGCCATCAATAATGTTGAGTAGCAAAACAAAAATCTCAAGCAAAACGATGTTCAAGATCATGTACTCATTAATGGAATATTCAATTCTAAAAGCTAGAGAGCCACAGATCAAGCAAGAAATTTTTCAACAGCAAAAGCTTCTATCAAGTGATATTAAAAATAATACTTAGATTGTACCATATTCTTCTCTATATTCGATTAAAACAGTGACAGATCATTTGACCATATGATCAAATGTATACCATTGCAGCTGGAAATTCCATGGGAAGCAACAAAATTACAACTTCAATCAATGTAAGTTGTCCAGAAAAATACATGTTGCCGTTAGCAAGTAAATACCTGTCCGCAAAAACTCAGGTGGAGTATATGCTAAGTTGGTACTGTAGCTTTTACCATCTCGACTATTTTTCATAAGCCCAAAACTTGACAATCGGGGATCACCTTCCTGACAAGAAGTAGGCCAGTCAGTAACAAGTCTGTTTCAAAGGAATAACTTCGATATTGTCTGCTGAATGATGCTGAAAGCTTTAATAACATTAGCAGAGAACAGTATAAATATAACTAAAAACCAAATATCCATTTACACAAATAATGTCTCATGACAAAGACAGCAAGAATAAATACACAACATACCAAACAAACAACTACGTTTCTCTGCTTACCTCATCAAAAAGAATCCTGTATGCATTCAAATCATGATATATTTTACGATTTTCCATGCTACAATGATCTAGTGCCTGGGCGACATGGTATGCAACTCTTACACGCATTTCCCATGGCAATGGCTGCTTGTCCCCTGCAGCATAAAAACCAGGTACGCTATAAGTAAAGAAATGATGAACAATTGAATAAATTTTCACAAATTATCATCATGTCATTGACAAGTGCAGGAAATGCTGTTTCTTTACTCATTTTAGTGGTCATAAAATGCTCCCTTTTTTTTCAAAAAAAATTACCATTCACCTTCCTTTTCTGAGAGGAAGAAGGATTGGTGTTGGTCAGTTCAAATGATAAACAAGACCAAACAAAGAACAACTAAATAAAACAGGATTTAGGATTGGTGAGGTGAAAAATAAATGGACAGACTCTTTGTACCAAGACAGAAGAAGGAATAAATAGAATAGTGTACTATATATTAATTTCTACATAGTCCACAGATGATCTTGAGTAGCACAAGCAATTTAAACATTTAAATTTCCCTGAAAAAATAAAAGCATGAGAAAGGATACTTTTTATGGTTCCAGTATTTTTTATTCAAGATCCAAGTTAATAATGGTTATGAATTAGATAGTATGAAACTAAGTGGCCTTAAAATGAAGAATTTGTCAGAGTCAGGTTCTTATCAGGAAGACATGTAATTTTAGGATAGATTTTAATAAGCTTCTTCCAGAACTTCATCTGTTGCAAATCCATATTGTCATGCATTACATACATTGATAAGGGTCGTTGCATGAAAAATGTAGAATTAAAAATTTCCAATGATTACAAAAGAAATTGAATAGGATGATAAAGAGTAATACAATGAAAGAGATGCTTCGACAAAGTATCGTTTGGCATGTACTCTGCCACCAAAAGCCGTTCGTCTCCTTCAGCACAGCAACCAATTAGATTTACCAGTCTCTTGTGCCTCACTTTACCAACTCCAGCAGCCTCTGCCTGACCAGTAAAAACCATCAACATTGTTTATATTTTCATGTTAGAACCCCATAATGCGCATCTTTTACAAGAGAGGTCATGAAGTAATAGTGGAGAGCTTGACCTCCCCGCAGAACTACCACAAATGCACCTTCAACTTCAAGTCAATTCGGAATTTCAAAAAACAATACGATTGATAAGGCCACCTACATTCTTGTTTATTGTACTATTCCTTTTTGGTTCAATTTCTAAACAGCTAAATTGAGTGTAAAGAAAAAGTTCGTTTTTCCTCACCATAAACTGCTGAGCGTCGGGCCAAGACTGTTTGGAGAAGCGTTTAATAGCGACTAAGCGATTGTTCTCGAGCTTTCCTTTGTAGACCACATTGGGAGCTTTCTCGCCACTCTCCGACACTATGTAATTTGTGCTGAACTCGTTCGAAGCCCTTCGGAGTTCGTTGAGACCGAACTCTTTGAATGCTGGGACATGGCATTCTTGATCAAAATCATCCCCATTTGCTTCAAAACCCAAAACCAAGATAAAATAAATATCTATTCTCAATAGGAATACATCCGAGTTAAATGTGAACTAGCAAGTAGACCCAGAGCAGCTTAAATGCCCTAGCTTTAAGATCCAATGACCAAATGTCCCCCAGAAACAATCTTACACCACACAACTTGAAACGGCAAGAATGCTAGAACCCAAAACAGCAAAGCGAGCAGCTTGTCACTGGTTAGTTAAAGAGAAGTCAAAACACCAAAAACAAAAGGTCAAGATTGAAGAAGGAACCTGGATCAGGTTTGTTAGCGTCAGGGAAAGCGGAGGGATCGTCAGGGGAGTGAAGGTGAGCTGTTTTAGAGTTCAAGCAACCCATGGGCAGGTATCGGCACACTTCATAGAATCGAAGCTCAACGAATCAAGGAAGACTGAAGCGAAGGTGGAGCACACTAATCTGCCCTAGGGGATAAAAATACTGGTCGAGGAGAAGCAGCTTCACTTGTTTCAAGCCAAAATGCAGGGCCTGCACATGCCACTGGAGAGTCACTGCTCCTTTTGCTTGTTGCTGCACGGAAGGAAGAAGAGAGAGAGTGTGTGTGGGGTTTTTTTCTTTTTTTTGGCGGGGGGGGAGATGTGGGTGTGGGGATAAAAAGGCCAAAAGGGCAAGTGAATGAATCTGTGAAAAGGCGAAGAAGTGGAGAGAGATGAGAGATGAAAGCAAAGGGAAATCAGGAGACAGAGAAGGTCACATGACAGGGCTACGGGAAGCACGTGCTGGCCAGGCGGGGGCTTGGAAGCAACTTCTATGGGCAAGAGCAGTTGCATTGAAATTGGGACGTCAGCTCCGACCAGACATCAAAGCCGAACCTCATTTTACCGCTGTTTTATCGTTTGCCACATTATCTCCTTCCCTTGTTTTATGTGGTCATGTCTCTTTCTCTGCTTACTCTCTCGCTCTTGTTCTTCTACTTGCTGATGTTGATGTATCATTACATTATTACGATCTTGCTCTAATTTTTATTTCGTGATCAGGAAGAAGAGGATAGAAAGAAGCGAAACAAATGTTGGCGTCGTGACAATAAAAGACGCCTAAGTATCACATGAGATTAGTTCAAACCAATTGGATTTTAAGATTTACCTGGTGTTTGGTTGAATCCCAGTAATTCTTGCGAATTTCATTAAAATATTCCCTCTTCTTCCTGTGTCTTTTGTTTTTTAGCTTTGTACTCGTGGAAGTGTGACTCGTGACAGTGCAGAGGAGCATATGATGGGCCCTAGTCCCAAGAGCATAAAATTCATTGTTCATGGAAGTAGAGGGCTGTGTGAATCATTGCAGCATAATAGTGAGTGACAAGGCGCGGAAAAGAAAAGGAAAGGATATGGTTATCTCCGCCACCAGATTCTGTGATGCCCCACCTCAATTAATGTCAATCTACGCGAATTTTGCCTTTCTCAGAAAGCCCCGATTGTCATCTGTTACCTTGCACTTTCAACGGGATGCCGCATCATTATCATCTCTTATTCTCTGCTTTGACGCATCTTTTTAGACTTGTTATTGCAAGTTACTATTATAACTTGTTCTCGATTCATTTGATCCACAGTTTTACTCCAATTTTTTCCCATTTTTTTATTTTTATAATATATTATAATAACGCGTGAATTTATTTAAGATTCAAAGGAAAAATCACAGCCCCTTGGTTCTCGGCAACATTGTCATCCCCGCCGAATTTACTGACAGTGACAAGTTCTATTTTCGTCTCTCACAGGGATTAAATTTCCTCTGCTCCAATTTGTTTCTCCAGAATCTGCGTCCGAGCAAGTAGCAACAAGGGTTTGAGTTGGAGAATGAGCTTCTCAACTCTTATAGACTCTTATAGTTAAGAGTAAGCAGAAAGGGCTGTTTCGATAACGTGTAGAATCAATTTTAAAGATCAAAATATGATTTTGTGAAAATATATCCAAATATATCTGCCGTTGCATGTGTTAGTAAATATGTGTGTGTGTGTGTGTTACATGCTAAAATCATGAATCTAAAATTGATTTTGGTACGCATAAGAATATTTGGATATTTAAAAAAAAATATCATGATTTTAAGTTCACATGTGATTTAACATGTACAATAGGTGTTTAAATTTTTTTTAAATATAATTTTAGATTCATAATTAATTTTAACATGTAACAGGAATATTGGAATATATTTTTATAAAATCATGATTTTACCTAATTTTTTATTCTGCTTTCAATTCTACTTTTAAATTCTGATTAAAATCAATCTTATTAATTTTATAAATTAATTATATACTATATAATATAATCAATTATATTTAAAATCAATTATATTAATTAATTTTTTATAATTAATTATACCCAACTAAAATTTAAACACAATCTAAAATACTCTAATCACATTTTTATTCTGTCTTAGTTACATGAATTTTTCCTTTATTTTGAAAATATACACTTCAGTCCAAATTATTAACACCATTAACTAAAATTCTAAGCCGATTCTAAAATTATATTTTTATTGAAAATAGTATTAGGATAGATCATATTTACTAATTTAATCTTCATCATATTAAATCCCTAATTTATCTTCAACAATTGATTTAATTTTAACTTATTATTAATTTAATATTTTTAATAAATTTAAATAGGTTAATCATTTTTTCACTTTAAAAAAATAACAGGTTGATAAAAAAATTTATTGAAAACAGTTAACTAATTTTTTTAACTAATACAACTATAATGAAATGTACTTAAAAATTTTAAATTTTAAAATTGAGATATTAATATCCTATACTCAAAACCATGACATTTTATGATTTTATAAAATAATTGAATGTTTATATATGTGCATGCCTTAAAGACTTTTTTTTAGCTGTGGCACATATTTAAAATATTATTAAATAAATAAGTATAAATATTTAATATTACTGGAGCAATACAAATTTAGAATTATAAAACTAATCAGCATAATGATATAATAAAAATTAATCAATTTAATGATATCATAATGTGAAATATGCACATTAAAGTTATTTTTTGGATGAAGATAAGTGTTTAAATGATTGTTAAGTAATTATTATGCTAAAAAGGGAGCATTTGGGTTGAAACGAAATATCAACATTATAGAATGAAGGTATTTATAATTTAGATTAAATAGAGGGAATGTTAGTGTATTTTACTTTTTAGTTAAAAAACTCTTATGCGCTTGTCCATCAGGGCATGAGCCTCGAAACCCTGTTTTTCTCAAATTAATTGATTCGTAAGACGCGGCGCTAATGATGAGGGATTAGGTCTAGCGTAAAAAACTAGAGCTATCAATTAAAGCCAGCCTGGCCTTAAAGGGCCGGCCCTTGAAGGACCAGGGCCTAAACGGGCTGGCCCTAATAAGCCCGATTACATGTCAGGGTTTCATTTTTTAAGGCCCGGCCCTAGCCCTCAGGGCTAAAGGGCCGACCCTCAGGGCCTCGGCCCTTTTTTTTAAAATTATTTTTTTAATTAAAAATTATAAAAAAATATATTTATAATCATAAAAAAAGTTATTATTCATAAAATTAAGTTTAAAAAAATAAATTTAAATCAATTTACATCACAACAATAAAGAAAACTAAAATATTTAGGTCTAATATCAAATAGTAACATCAAAGTGAATACCAATAAAAATTAAACTTAGTTAATATTATCAGCTAAATCTTAATAAATAAATGATGGATGGATGAATGCATTTAATATGTTCATTTCTTTGAGTTTATGTATTTAATCTTTTATTTTTTTATATTATAATTTTTAAAAAATTATAAACAGGCCTAAAAGGGCCGGCCCTTTTATTTTCGGGCCTAAAAGGGCCCCCTTTTAGGCCCGATTTACCTTTTTAAAGGTAAAATAGAAGCCCAGCCCTCAATTTTTTCGGGCCTAAAAGGGCCGAGCCCGTAATTGACGGCTCTATAAAAAACCATATTTTTTATTTTTATTTAAAATATAGGATTATTAATTGAAATTCACATATGGGGTATGAACCATATAGCTCATGCACATAGTGCGGATAAAAATACAATAAAAGATGTAATGCCTTGACCTTGCTGACTTAAAATGCAATCAAATATGATGGAAATAAAAAATAATAATAAAGATATTTACCATGATATAAGTGTTTAAAATCAATTTTTTGAATTTAATTATTAAAAGGCAACCATGATAGAAAAGAGTTAAACTAAATTCCAAAGAGCTACCATAGTTATAAGAATTCACCTCATAAACATATACTTGAAAACTAACCTTAATGGAGGAAAGATGAAACCAGTCAACAAGGGATTACCAATGTTATAAAAAATTAATGTTAACATTTGAAGTCACAAAAACCACCCTACCATAGTAGATAGAGAATAACTTGCAAACAATTAATTAAATTTATTATATAACACAAAGCTTGCACACATCAAAACACTCCAAGTTTCCTATTCTCCTTAAGCTTACAAATAATTGAATTTACAAATAGTCGCACAATAAATCCAAACAGAAAGAGCTCTCAATGAGAGTCTATACAAATCACATACATACAGAAAATATTAATACAAAATTTAAAGTTATTAAAAATTACCCTCGAGCTATTATAAGGTTGCTCTAAAATTATTCTAGGACCTTAATGCTACCTTGGAGAACCCAAAATTATCTTTTAAATCCATATCCATTTGTATAAACTAGCTTATATATATTTTTAATTTACTAAAAATTTGTTTTTAGCTTAAAAGTCTTAATTCAAAGTCTTTATTACTCTCATATATTTATTCCAAACTTCAAACCTTATTTTAAGAGTCCTCAAATCTCATAAAAAATTTATATAGAAAGTTAGACCTTTTCAAAACTCAAAATAGATCTATATATATCTTTAAAGTAACCATCTATTAGCAAAAATAAACAAGAATCCTAAAAATGTTAGATTCTAAATTTTTCTACCATCAAGAATCTAAAAATTAAGGGGACAAACAAATGGAGCAAAAAAAGTAAAATACCTGCATAACCTTAAAGATCTTAGAATTGCTCATAACTATAGTCTAATATCATAGGGCTAATCTTTTAACCCATGTAGCATTTAGACTCTATCCACCGAAAGATATTAAGTAAGTTTGTTTTGTAGATAGGAAGATGCTTTGGGCAAAGTTGAGAAATGGAAGTCTTAAGGGCAAATGTTGAATGAGAGAGCTTGAAGAATATGAAACTTGTATTGCTTTAAGAATTTAATGATGGTTACGAATGAGAAAGACAAAATTTATAGCCCCCATTGAATCTAGAGAGTTCACGTCTCCTTAATGGATAGCGAATGTTAAATTGATCATGTGGTCATCATTGATTCTCTAAGATTCTCCATTAGATATTTTACAATAAATATCTAAATATTTATAAAAAATTCTCTAGAATCCATATTAAAATATTTATACTAGAGTTATGTAGATTTTTCTAGAATGTCTTTTCACACTCTAGCATTCTTAAGAGACTTCTAGAGGATTTTGAAACATTTTGAACCACTATAACCTCACAAAAAATATGGATCGTGACATTCCACCCCACTTATTTTTGCAACGCTCTCGTCGCGCATTCCTCCTTGTATGAATATGGTCAGTGAACTTCCACACGAGGTCTTCAATCATGTTCCCAACTTGCCATAAAGTTTTCTTAACTAAGTATTCAATGTAGTTGGGAACTTCTCTCTGTTTGATTGCCTTGTCAACTAGAATCTCCTTGATTTCCTCATCGTCCTCGGTGATGATTACTATTGGTGCTCTCTTAGAGATTCCTTGCGATGGATTTTCTTCATCTTCATTGTATTTCTTCAAGAGACTTGCATGAATGACG